AAAAAAAAAAAAAAAAAAAAAAAAAAGTATACTTCCCTGCACCCAGGGCTGTTTTTACTCCCGCCAACCAGATTCAACGTCAAGAGACAAAAGACCACCACAGGGTGTCATACAGATAGAAAAACCAAGCCCAGAGCTTGCCTGGGGGTCCCTGCCCAGCCAGGGCAGAGAGAACTCGGGTGGAATCCAGGCCTCCCCTCCCCACCCAACCAGACTGACCCTGTCCTAAATGGGGAAGGGACAATGAGGCCACATCTCCCCCGGCCTCCAGGCCGCGCACACACATGCACGCTCAGCACTTATTCTCTTGCCCCGACGGGATAAATATTGTCCTGGCCTTCCTGAAATACTCATCTCCATGCGGGTGGCTTTACAAACTGCTAAAACCGGGACCATGTCCCTGGTGGAAGGGGAGAGCTATTCCGGGTTTGCGTCAGGTGTGGGTCAAGGCCAGCCAGAAAGGGCCGTCTGCTGGCTCCCCGGCTCTCGCGTCCATGGCAGGCAGTTCCTGGCAGCCAGTGCATGCGCTTCCAAATCTGATCTGGCCAGGCCCAGGCGCTGGGACCGATCATCCTACACAGGATGTCTGCAGGAGCCATCACCCACAGTCCGCCCCGCACCCTTGGGACAGCTCCACGTGCCCCTGAAATCTCCGAAACCCCGTTGGATAAGGAATCCACAGGCCAGAGACAACCGGAGGCTTACAAAGGAGGCCCTGCAGGAGAAGGCTAGGCCTGTATGCCCAGGCTCAGGCCCTGCTGGGCTCGTGCCCAGGATGCCCACACCGAGCATTCACTATACACCAAGTGCCGGCAGACAAGTTCATAAATAATCACACTTGATTTTCACAAGCGCCAGTGGGTCTGGCACCATGATCACGGTCTCTGTGCTCACCTGGGGACACTGAGGCTCAGAGGAGCTAAATCATCTGCCCAAGGTCATCCAAACTGGAAGTGAAAGAACTAGACTTTGAACCTAGGCAGCCTGACTCCAGAGTCCTCACGTAACCCCAGATTCAGCTGTTTCCAGCCCCCATGCCAAGGCTGGTCCAGGAGGATGGTCCACATCAGAGTTGAAAGGAGGAAGGAGCTGGGGCAGCCAGCCAGGGCCACGGGCAGCCGGGGAGGGCAGAGGGCATGTGGGCAGACCCCAGAACCTGACCACCCTCCACCTGCCTGTGTCTCCAGACATTTCCAACCCAGAGGATTTTGAACCCCCCGGGGGGCTCAAAGTGCCAAGAGCTTTAAGATTCCCAGGGAATCGAATGGAAGCTCTGTGCTCTGCCCAGATAAGTGTTCACACACCCATGGCACCCTGAGCCCACCCAGGAGAGCAGCCACAGTCCCTGCTCCCTGTGGGTCAGCGGTGGCCCGGCTGACAGCCTGGAAGGGTTTGCTGCAGACACAGCTTCCTGCTCCAGCCCTGCTGGGAGGCCGGGGTGTTGCAGAACTTGGCTTTGAAAGTCAAGTTCCCCCTCCAGGGCTGCAGGCCCCCCAGGCTCTAGGCTGGGAGCAAGGGGACCGGCCTCACAGCTGCCTCAGCCTGTGGGGCCCCAGTGCCCTCGGCAACGGGCAGCCTTGGCCCTGCAACTGGAGCCACGCGGGTAAATATAGCACTGCCACTCACCGGCCGAGGGGCCCTCGCCGTCCGACATGGTGTGAGAGGGGCAGCCGGCTGGCCACCGGCCGGCAGGGCCACTCACAGCCCGTGGTGGCTCTCACCCACCCGACAGGGCTTGGGGCTGCTCCGTGCCCAGCCCCCAGGCAGCGTCCCGTCCCGGGCGCCCTGGCCACCTCCCCCCACCATGCTGGGCTGGGCAGATAAGAACGTGCTCACGGCCAGGAGCCCCTGCGATTGGTCGATAAATCCAGGCACTGCCCTCCCCCGCCCAGAGCCTCTCCCAGGCAGCCCCGGAATGTCGCTTGAGCAGCTGTTGCACCCCTGGGTGCTGGGTCGGTCCCCGAGACCCCAGCCCAAGGGGACCACGGCATGCCCGCACACTCTCTAGGAATGTTTCCATCCAGCAAGGGGCACAGATGGGCATTTGGGGAAGAGAATCACAGGTGATGCCACCCGGAGCCATGCGGGGACCAGGAGCCCCGCTGACCGTGGCCACCCTGGCCACCCACGCCGTCTTCCTCTGCTCACTGGAGGTGCTGCGACCACCGTGTCCATGTCACAGATGGGGTTAAGTGACCCACCCGAGGCCACCCGGCCAGCGAGGGGCGTGGCTGGGATCTGGAGACAGGCTGTCTGTCTCCAAGGTTACAGGAAGGCGTGGCCCTTGTCTTTGATTGTTTGGCCAAGACCGGCCAGCTGGCTGACACTTCTGGGCACCTCGGATTGCCTGCGTCTCTTTATGTGTGGGGGGCTTATGGGAGAGGAAGGCGGGCTCCCCACGGGCAACCCTGGGGTTCTGTGCCTGGCACAGAGTGGGTGCTTAGGAAATAATGATTGCAATAACACACTCTAGCAAGCACTGAGTATGCTCTTGCTGTATGTTGGCTAGGAGCCAATCCAGCCCCACTCCTAGGATTCCATAAGGTGAAGGACAGGACCGGCCAACAGCCAGAGTTCCCAGAAGCATCCAGTTTTGTACAAAGAGTACAGAGGGCACGAAAGAGAAGAGAGGGAAGCCCAATCAGAGAAATCCAGGAGAGCTTCCTGGAAGAGTTGGCATCTGAATTACCTTGAAGGGACAGGAAAGTTCTTTGGAGGGAAAAAGAGGGAGTTGCCCCTGAGGGCAGCTCCGGCTGGAGTTGGAGCCGAGGGCAGTCCTGAGGAGGGAGGAGGAGGATGCTTGTGGAAGGAGAGGCGTCAGGGTTGGGAAGTCAGAGGAGGCTTCCTGGAGGAGGGGTCAGTAAGCCTTAGAAAATTGGGGGGGCGGGCAGTGTTGTGAGGCATCCAAGCAGCTCTTCCGTCCACACTGCAACCTTTCCCAGCTCTGAGTCCTGGGACGTGAAGGCAGGGGGTGAGGAGAGGAGGCCCCTTCTGGGGCGTGTGGGAGGACGGCTAAGCCACAGCCTCTACCCTTTACCCCTGCACAGGCCAGCAGGGAGAACAGCCAGTCCCCGGAAGTGGGTCCGGGCAGCCTGGCTTTTGCCTGTGCTGTTAGGAATTCCCTGTGCTGCTTCTCCTCTGGGAAACCTTGTCAGACTGCCCCTGAGGGCAGGTCGGGGGCCGGCACTGTGTCTCCACTGCCCCTGAAATCCACTCTGCCAACTCTGGCCTCACGGTCGCCAGTGCCTGGTCCTGGCCGTGTCCACCTCTTGGTTGGCTCTCGCTGCCCTGAAAGATAATGAGCTCATCATCACTGGAGGTATGCAAGCAGGGCTGGGTGGCCACTGAGTGGGGACACAGTGGAGAGGGAGTTCCAGCATCAGGTAGGGTTGGATTCAAGGGCTCTGGGGTGCCTCTAGGGTGACCAGCCACCTGTTTGCCTGGGACTTTCCCTGTTTGGGCCTTGAATGTCCTACATGCATCCTGGGAGCCCTTTTGTTTCAGACGAATCAGGACTGTGGGTCAACCTGAGTCCTCCGATTGGAATGTTTATTTTAAGTAGAAAAAGAAAGAGACAAAGCCAGACCACCCCCAGAACTGTCTCGGGGAGCCCACAGCCCCCAAATCCTCCTCCCCGAAGGTCTTGGTAGGTGGCAGGGGGGTGGGGGTTGGGACAGGGAAGATGGCTGGTGTGCCCAGCCCCTCGCAGGAGGGCATGGGCTGGGCGGACCTGTCTCCAAGGTCCTGCCATCTCTGTGTCCCCATTTCTGCATCTGTGAAGCACTTGTGAGCCCCACCTGTGTACTGGACCCCAGGCCAACCTTGGGGACAGGCGGAAATCCAAGGAATCCCTGCTGCCAAGCACATGCAGTCTCATGGGGCGATGCCAGGCAGGGTCCTGCACCCATCTCAGGTCTGAGCTCCCGCGACACCTGCTCTGGGTTCCCTGGGAGGGGCTGGATCAATGAAGGAGGACACCGTGAATAAGAGTGGGCGGGCCGGGTGTGGTGGCTTGGCCTGTAATCCCAGAACTTTGGGAGGCCGAGGTAAGAGAACTGCCTGAGCCCACAGGTTTGAGACCAGCCCGGGCAACTTGGTGAGACCCCATCTCTACAATAAATCACAAAAACTAGCCAGACGTGGTGGCGCACACCTGTAGTTCCAGCTACTTGGAAGGCTGAGATGGAAGGATCGCCTAAGTCCAGCAGGTAGAGGCTGCGGTGGTCGTGAACGTGCCACTGCACTCCAGCCTGGGCGACAAGACTCCAGCTCAAAAAAAAAAAAAAAAATAGTAGGCAAGAGCCTCCCCAGGTGCCCACCAGACCGCCAGAATCCAGTTCAGGGTGCCACGGGTTCATGTCACCTGCCTCCCAGATAGAGCCCTCGCCCTGACCTCTGCCAGGCAGGTGGTGGGCCCTGGGCTGGAGAAGCCCAGTGTGGATGACCCCGGTCAAGTGCCAGCTCTGCCAGCCCTCCTGGTGACAGGGACAAGCCCAGCCCCAGCTGCAGTTTCTTGCCTGGAAGGGGGGACACCCGAGGTGGCTGCTGGGAAGTGGCCCCAGGGCCCAGACGCCGTGGAGGGGCCCCCTCTCCCTGCCCGCCATCGCTTGTCTGTCCACCCTTGCATCCTAACCAGACGGACCGCCCAGTGTCCACGGGCCGGAGCCGCTCCCAGGCAGGCCGCTTCCCCTTCCTGTCGCTGACCCAAGGCCCTTCCTGTGTCCTTTATCGTGGGATCACGTGCTGGGGAAACACTCGAGTCCTGCTCTCAGGGCCCTAGCAGCAAGCCGAGCCCTGCACACGTGCGAGAGTGTGTGTGTGTAGTGGACGAGTGTGGGTGTGCACGTGTGTGCGTGCACATATTGTGTAGCGGTGGCATGTGTGGGGGAGCATGCGTGGTGAGTGCGCCCGTGTGAGCATGTGACGTGTCTGTGTAGGCGTGTGTGTGTGTGTGTACGTGCGTGGGAAGCGTGTAAGTGGGTGTGGCTCCCGCGTGGGGTGGGAAGCGGGCATGGTGAGTGCTCGCATGTGAGCGTGTGATGTGAGTGCGTGGGCATGTGGATGCGTGTGTGCAGAGGCGGTTCCCATCAGCTCTCTCTGAAGCTCCGCCTCCTCGGCTGGCCATTGGTGTGCCCGCTGGCTCTGTGGGCTCCCCAGTGTCCGATGGCATTTTCAACAACCAGTCGCTGAGCACTGCGACGTGGCAGCCGCGGCCACGGCCAGAAGGAGGCTTGGGGGCAGCTTGGGGGCCCACAGACTCGTGGGGGTTGGCGCTGGTGGAGGAACTAGGTCAAGAAGGAAGAGCAGGTGGTCAGGGAGGACATCTGAGAGTCGTTCAGGCAGAGACCCAGAGACCGAGAGGGGAGGAACAGGCCAGCCAGGCGGAGAAGGGCTGGTTAGAGATTGCCAGAAATCCAGTTAGGTGAGAGTTGTGGTCATTTGTAGGAACAGGGAGGGGAGCACATTTCCTGGACGTCCGTGGGGCCCAGGCCTGAGCTGGGGCCCTCCTGGGCAGCCCCTGACATCACGCCACCGTGCTCCTTCACAGGGGCCCAGGCAGAGACCGCCTGTCTGGTTCCCGTGTGCCAGACCCCTCCCCGGCTGCCCCACCTAGAAAAAGGCTGGCCCCTGGGTTCCCACACTGCTCAGCCAGCCAGTGCCACGCTGGGGGTGAGGAGTCCTGGAGGGACAGAGAAGGGTCAGGGATCAAAGGCGGAGGGCATCTGAGCATGGCGGAGCTGGGGAGGAGCCATGTCCCATCCATGCCTTCCCTGCTGCTGGCACCTGCTTACCCCATGTCCACCAAGATGGGCCTCAGAGTCCAGCATACCCTCCCCCGCTGGAGCCCCCATCTCCCTGGGTCTTGAGTCCCCCGTAAATAGTGGCCCCAGTGGCCACAACTTGAAGGACAATAGATGCCCCCTTTGCATGGACCCACGCGTCCTGGGTGTGTGGCCTCGGGCAGGTCACCCAACCTTGCTGGATGTGGGGTGGAGACAGAATGCACAATGCGAGGGCTCGGCCCATGGCAGTCCATCCACTGCTGAAGGTTTAAGAGACACCCCCTGGCCAGGCACGGTGACTCACACCTATTATCCTAGTGCTTTGGGAGGCCAAGGCGGGAGAATCACTTGAGGCAAGGAGTTCAAGACCAGCCTGGGCAACACAGCGAGACCCTATCTCCACAAAAAATTTTAAAAATTAGCTGGGCATAGGGAATGGAGGTGTGGGCCTGTCATCCCAGCTTCTTGAGAGGCTGAGGAGGGAAGGTCTCCTGAACCCAGGAGTTAGAGGTTGCACTGATCTGTGATCGTGTCACCGCACTCCATTCAGCCCCGGTGACAGAGAGATATCTGGTCTCAAAGTAAAAAAAAAAAAAAAAAAAAAAAAAAAAAAAAAAAAAA